TGATAATAATATTCAGCACCGATCCATACAATTACTGCGATATTCTCACTTTTTTCCATAATTTGCTTCAAGCTTACTATGTCAAGTTCTCGCCGAAGCGATCGTTTCCATCTAAAAGATCACTTAGCATTGGTAAATGAATACATTACAAAGATTACTGATGATTTTTAAGCAAAAACAAATTATAACGTTAACTGAAATGATCAATTCAGATCACTCTGTTCATTGACGTGAAGTTTAATAAGTTGGACTTGTATGGTCAGCGTATGGTTGTGACTGTACTGGGCTGAAACTGACGATGTATCCTAACTGGAGAGGACGTGGAAGCCATTGAAATTATACTGACTTTTTCCGGCTGCTGAATTGATTCGATATTAACACCGCTATCAGATTTCTTACGATTAGAGCTCGATGATTTTGACGGCTTAGGTGATGCTGATTTACTGCTTGGCGAATTGCCGTTTTCATCTTCGGATGATGCAGCTTCCTTCACCTGAGGGTGTCATTCTCGATAATGGATCATAGTTATTGACAGCAACAACCATCATCTCGGTTAGCACTTCCCGAAGCACAACATAACCTCAATGCAACCCGAATTTCGGAGCCAAACGCAGGTTTCTTATTCGTTTGCACGCTCATCGACATGATTGAGAAAAACTATATCGTGCTCAGACTCGAAGGAGTGACGATCATCATTATTATTACAGTGAACAGAATAAATAATTCGTAAGCAACTGTTCGAAAAACGACTAATTTTGGTGTGCTCATTGTGTCTTACGTAACTGGGGCATAGCATGACAGCTTTGCAAAAGCTCGGCTGAACTTGTGATTGGCTTCGCGATGAAATGCATTTTCCTTATTATGAGCATTACATCAGACAAAAGCTGTTGGGATTTTTTCAGGATTGTTGTGGCTGTTCAGCTTCTCGGATGCATACTAAATATTTGCTTGTAGACATGAGATTTCCATCAGGCGAGATTTTCATGTCGTCCGAGAAGAGATTTATCGCTATGTTAATGCAGAAACAGTAACGGCTGTCCATCAGCAGCAATACCCAATATGCCCCAATATCAGGTCCTCAAAACTCATCAAAATCAATCGAATTCAAAATCAACCTTCGATCGAAATCTGCTTGAACATCCAATTAATGAAGAACTTATTAAAACACAATGAATAGCAACAGCGATGATGGCACCACACTGAATCATTTAATCTCGATACGTCAACAACAACTGATAACTTTTAATAGACCACTCAATAATTCTATAAAAAGCTAAAATGATTGATCGGCGAATGTGACAATGAGCTGACTTCATGAACTTATTTGATTCAATCACTTATCGTTATGCAAATGATCGCAGCAATTACTTTGAACGTGAGCTTGAATGTTTTGATTCAAATGCGTTATAATATTCTATCGTAAAGATGAAGAAAAAATCTATCTATCGTAAAATCTATCTATCGTAAAGATGAAGCTTTGAGTGGTAATTTAGTGCTA